GTACATGAACTCCAGAATCCGACTGGATTGAATGGTGTATGAACCTGTTTCGGTCATCGGAAACCATCGGAAAGTAGTTCCTAACGCTGTCACACTGCCTTGTGGATCAGGCTTGAAGTTAAAGGCCCAAGAGGTGTCCTCTTAAGACAACCACCTCCTTTGGCCTGGCAATCCGGCTAATATTCCAGTCCCCACAAGAACTATTAGATTTTGTGTGGAGCATCCCTCGAGGCCAATTATAAAATACCCCTGTGTATCGAAAAATGTATGCAAAAAGTAGTATAATAATTATCTTATGTGAACAAAATCACTCCCAAAATCAAGGGAATCCTTAGTTTTAAATCCACTTGAACAGGTTCCATGAAGTGAAGTCACAATAAATGATGAAAATCATAGTTCCATAGTCAGATATTATCTAATCAAGAAACCCAAAGTGGAGAGGTGATTCATTGACTTAAGCTTTCGTCTTTCAGTAAATGGGTCGTGGGTTCGAAGTTTGCTCTACCTACTTCAACCTAAAAACTGGGTTATATAATTAGCTCCTGGATAATGGGTGTGGTTCATAGTCTGCTACATGAAAAATAGGATCACGGCAGCTGAGCTCTAACCAACCAAAGCCTTGAGAAAAATATGTAACCAGTCATTTTAAGTGAAAATTATATACCATTAAAGTGGGCAGTTACTTTTCCCTGGTAACCTACTTACACTTTCCACAAACAACAAGGTGTCGGAAAATAAATTCAGCCCACAACCAGAAAACAAGATTGTAATTAGCTAATGAGATGATATCAACTCTGATACATACGAAAGCTGGCACTATTCATCAGTACTACTAACCAGTGTATACTGAAATAGATTTAAATGTAAATAAGAAATTAGAAATACAGTATGACTATGTACATCTATCAGTTGTCTAGCTTAAATATGCTCATTTTGACGTATAACCTACACATAGCTTATTAATATTAAGCGAAAAATGATAAATCTGAGAACTGACTGGTTTCAACATAGAACTTTGAACATAAAAGCAGAAGTTCCAGTTGCTACACACCATACAGCACACAAAGGAAGACAAAACAGAAAGAAAAAAGAGATTCGAGAGAAAGATAACAAGTAGAAATGTGTGAGAGAGAGAGAGAAAGAGAGAAAGAATAATAACATGGAAAAACAAAAGGGTTTTATCGGAAATATGAGATCCCAGTGCGAGTAGATCTGCATGCACCATTAACAACAATTTCTAGCCATATCATAAATTGTCTCTAGCCATTGGTTCTTAGAATTCTGAGAACCCCATTCTCAGGAAACCTACACCTCCTTACTTGGCTGGTTCAAACCAACTGTAAAAGGTTTCATGGGCTGACTAGAAGTTTTCCATCTGACTACCAGTAGCTCTTTTCCAAGCTAATCAATCCTATATCAGTTAACATTACCCTGATACCTACGCATATCAATATCAGAATACACTTAACTAACAATTAAAAATGTATATACATCAATTCACTTAAATTCTTAAAAGATATTTGATATGCACTAACTACTAACTGAGGAGATAAATTAAAATTTACTGTGCATGAAAACTGAGCAAATGTTGTTTTTTTTCTGATGGAGTAAACCTCGAATTTTTGGATACATTTGTCTGATGCCAGTGTGATATAAATAAAGCTAAAATTTCAGTTTGCTAAATAACACTAAAAAAACTAATGCACTCCAAAAAATTTAAATTTTTCTCGAATTTCGATGTTACACTACTGTCTATAGCGTTTATCACCACAGAAAATTTACTTGTATATTGAAGTTTTCAATTTCGAAGATGTATACCGTTTATGCATAAATTTACTGCGAAAAGATTTTTGTATCCGTTAGACGATGAATACTAGTGTGTATCAGTTTGTGCTTATTGGTTGCACATTATAATAACTCATACACTTTCATATAGATCAGCTACTAGATAGTGTGAAAATCTAATAGGCTTAAAACACTAGTATGAACTAAGAGATTATGCAAACTAGGGGACAAAAATGTACACATTTCCCTGCTATGACTTAAATCACCAGTGGTAGTGGCCAAAGTTGAAAGTCTCGTGTTAGCGCTAAAACTCGATCCTCTCGCGATGGTTTTCAGTTCCCCACAGGTTGCATGCATCGTCTATTACGCAGGATTGACTACGCTAAACACATCGGTGCTGGAGCCATTGTCAACTTCGCAGCCATCCTTGCGTATCTATCAGCTGAAGTTCTCAAATCGACTGGTAACGCCACTCACGACAACCAGAAGACCCGTATTATGCCTTGTCACTTGCAATTTACCATTCTCAACTATGAGAAGTTGAAGAAACTGCACGGTGGAGTGACCAACGCTGAAGATGTAAAATTATTATATGTACAAGGGTTTGGAAGGGGGGACAAGTAAATTAGTTAAGCATATACCAATGGAAGGATCTTTAATTTTACTACTTAGCATATTTTCAGTGAATCAGATCAAACTGAAGTGTCAATACAAAGGAGAGAAAATCTGCTGAGACCCATGAACTGAGTACTAAAATTAACTGGGTATATGACTATCCTGTTGTGAAGTTTTTTCCACCTTAGTACAATTTCGGTCAACATTCCACTGTCATTAATAGACTAAAAGTTTTGAGGGCGATTTGATGTAAATGATTGGAATTAGTCGAACGAATGACAATTCCAAGGTAGTGTCACTTGATAAGCAAACAACATTTAATATGAAAACTAATAAATAGTATTCGCATAGCTTGAACGAAACAGGGAATTACATGCTGCAACGAATCCCCTATGTTACTAATAATTGTTTACACTAGTTAGAGATTCACACACACAAATGGTTCAATGAGTATATACCCATAGGATAATGAACATATTTCAAGAGACGATGGTACACATATCGACGAAATCACTAGTAGTAGTCCTAATTAAAATATAGAAAAGTAGTTAGGACCCTAGGCACATTAAATAAATAGAAAACATGTGAGTGACAGTGTCGCAGATTCTTGAATTTAAAGTGTCACACTCCTACAGCCTATGTAAAACTATTTTCGGATGTTGAAAGGGATTTTTGTACCTGAGAAGCAAGTACCATTCACATAGGACCTGGTATTTACTGCATGATAGTTATACTATATGTGAATTACAAAATGTCTATGATAAAGAAACAAAAATACTACGAATGTAAGTCGTAAGAAAAAGGAATACAAGGTGAAAGAGATGGGAGGGAAGTGACGTAACACCTGGGATGGAATTTAAGTTGGAATGAAGACAGTTTTTTTTATTTCCTTCACGTTCCCCAGTGGAACATAGGGCTTCAAGCTAGAGGCTTGAAGTTTCTATAGCAGTGCTTATTTTACAGGATGGGGTTGCTAGCCTCATGCCCAAACTTTCCTCTTCACCAGCGTTATTTCTGGCTTAGCGAGGTAAAGGAGTGCGTCTGTGGCCGGGTATCGAACCCCGGACCATGTGCATGGTCGGCGAGCGTCCTAACCAATATGCCACCGACGCACATGAAGACTGTAGCAGTGTAAGCCATATGCCTAGGTATTCAATCAACGACTTCAGATTTTACCCCGTTAAACGGTAAAAAAACTAACAACAAGTATCTTCTTAAACTATATTTGTTTTTCAATTCACCTCGCCTTATCCTTCCTCCAACACAAACCTACTTTACTTAACGATGAACTTTCTGGAAAGCAGTGGAAAGTCATGCATAGCGCAAAAGCCGGTCACATTAGTTGAAGGGAGTTTACAACTTCCTCTTCTTACCCATCACTTTTATGTAGCGCACAGTATGCCCAACCTCTGTGTTTATCATACGAAATATTAACAACAGCAATTGATGAAGTTAGAGAATAGCATTAGGAAGTAGCGACTCAAACCGTATTCCTAACCATCATGTTAATCTATCCCTAATATGAAATAAAAACTTATACTTTCTTAATCCCCTTAGTGGAAGTCAACTCTGATTTCTTCTTCAGTCATTTGTGTCCTTTTTGATTCAGTAATTAAGTACCTGAAGTCTTCTGGTACCTTTTATCCAATGTAATTTTAAGTCCCTTTTGAGTAGTATATTAAACTTTAATTAAACAAACACATATTCTACCAGCAACATAAGCTATGCAAATTGGCCAAAACCAAGTATAACTTTAAAATTTATGTTGAAATTGTTCTAGTTATTATCAAATCAGAACCGGAGATACTTCCAAATGTTTCACTTCTGCAGTGTGACGGGTATCTATCCAGATAAGTGTTGAATCACCTTATATTTGATGGGCGAGAAGAGCAGACCTGACAAACTGGATAAAAGGAATAAACTTCAAGGTAAATGGATTGAATCCCAAGTTTTAACCGTCTAGTATCCCTCAAACATTATACTTCGTAATACTAGATATAGGAAGCATGCTTTCTTTAAACACAGCTTCCTATATAAATATAGTTAGAATGTCAGATATCTGTCAACAAAAAGAGGTTTTATATGAAAAAGGCACTTTTATACACCTTCAAGGATGCGGTGAAATAATTTCCGAATTCTCACTTATGATACACATAGACATAATCATACAGCACATAGTGTGTTCAAGATTGATAAGAAACTGAGATTTTTACACAAAGCCATCTACATTTGATAACTAGTAATCACACTTAGGTCTACGTACTAATCTGAGTTACACCTACTATGTACAGGCGTTATAACAGTCGGCCACTGCGCTGGAAACAGAGGCCAAGTGTGCCGAATAATCGTTTTACTTGGTGTCACTAAGCAAACATATAAGATACACATATAGTTCTATGTTCGAAGTGAAATGAAAAATCGGTTAACAGCCAGATCTTATAGCCTTACTGGCGAAACATTCTATCAGTGATCTAAAACGCAAAAGTTCAGAATTCCGGATTTTTATGAGCGTCAGTTATCCAGAAATGAACAAGTTTTATGTTTCCAACACTGATCAAAAACGACTATTTTAAATATGTAACATAACAAGTCACACTTACCATTTGAAGAAGATTGGATTATCCACCAAGTGAGTTACATTATCAAGAAAGTATATAAGAGGAGCGAAACCATTCAACGTAACAAAACTCTGTGGGTTTTTTTGTTGACATGTATAGTTAAAGTTACAGATAAGAGACTGCATATAAGTCAATATCCCCATGCTTGTCAAACTTTGACTTTGAATGAAACATGATGACTTCGGATTAACTGAATGACGATTGCGAATAGAAGTGACTGTAGCGATGAATACTATCGAGAAAAATAATTCTGCTATTATAAGCCAGAAACTTCGACGACGCAAAAGGTAGTCTTTCCAAAGTAATATACGATAGTGTTTCAATGGTTGGCAGGAACGAGTTATACCTCCATAAGTAGAAATTTGAAGATTACGCATATTCAGAATGGAATGTGATAATGCCCACTGGAAACAGGGAGACAATATCTATCTCCTCCACTTCACGGATACCTGAGACAAATTTTAATACTTTATTCGTATGCTTGATTCACATGAAATATTTCACTTAAAGCAGTGGTGTGTATTGTAATAATTCGATAAACAGTTGTTTTGTATCTTTGAATAGCATACCTGTAAATATTAAGGGAGGAATAAAAATTCATAAAATAAAGTTCTGGTGTAACCAAAATTAAGTTTTACGGAAAAAAAACCTCGAATCCATATTACATTAAATGCTGTGTTTGCTTGTGTAACTCTAAAAATATGAACTACCCAGTTTCCATTTATTAAGTCTGTGTGAAGGCTCGGTCATCGACATGTGAACATACCTCACAACTAAAAAGCAAGCAGTAGCTTTCCCCAATGTGACTTAAAGCAATACTTACTCCACCTTTTTAAGAAGCATAAGGTAGCTGATGCTGTTTACTGATAAATGTTAACTTAAATTGACATAAGTCTTATACAATTACGTAAGACTTGAGCACATGATATTCATCGCGCTTTGAATATGCCCGGCTATAAACTTGGATATTTTTAAAATGATTATATTTAATTATCATCATGCTGTTGTCACTGTGCCATACAGGAGCAGATCATTTGACGCCCGCCAAGGAAAACCAAAGATGAATCAGAGTAGAAAATCCAACTAGAAACGAGAATATGATTAAACTTGCTCCATATATGAAAGCTGACACATAAGTGGCAGCATAGGACCATAACCTCACGCTGTTTATCTCAAGGTTACGTGATAAATTCCCTTCCCCACAGCAATAATCGTCCGAGAACACTTAAGGATGAATATTAAAAAAATTCGCGTAACTCATAATCACGAAATGACAAAATAAGCTGTTGATATTGAAAATATATCTTTGATTTCACTGTATACTGGCTAAACTGGTAAACAAAGATGAAACTAGCACTTAAAGGAATATTATGACGCTAGTTTGTAAGCACCTAATTTCGTAGCAGATAGTGTCTAAATCCTGGACAGTTACCATGAATGCATAAACTGAAAACAACAAAACTCACATCCAGATACAAGTCAAATATGGCAGACAACACTTGAGGTTGTATTCAGAAACATAAAAATGAAAAAGAAAAACAAACTTGGTGTCGTGACAGAAATATAACTTCCATTAGGTTAAAAAGTTCTTCTAGTCCGAAGAAAATTGGTGAATGAAATTTTTGAGCAAAATTTTAAGTTGAGGTTCTTGCAGTGAGAGCAATGCACTTCAATATCCAATACCATTTTTTACGAGCTAGCATCAGCCAATTTGATTTCTTTGTGCTCGCCTCTTGATTGTGAGGTATAGGTCCCTGATCTTAGGTCAACTTCTGCGTAGCTCGTTCCGCCACTCCATAGTATAGTACTCCCAAAGGAGTAGTGCTGGGACTAATTATATGTGGTTTGTAGTATGAGGTGTGTTAAGACTGTTACTACTGTGAATGGAGTTGATCCTTTCACCATTTAGTCCTCCGGTATTGTCGTCAAAAGAAAAGAGATAATAATAATAACTTGTTCATAATTTACTTTACCTTCCGTGTGAAATCACTTAGAGTGTAGCTCCGAATTTTTCCGGTGGTTCACGCCCCCTGAGAAGTTAATCTATGGGTATTTTTCCACCTGACCTTCACCTGCAAAGTATCTAAATTAAATTCACTAGAGAAGCTTTAGTCTCCCTGAATCGGAAAAGTCCCATAGACAGCTTTTCGAAGCAGCTATGAATTCAAACTCAGTGAAATGTGTGTGAAGCTATGTGCATTACATACAGTTGAAACTGCTTAACCTGAACTTGGTGGCAAGTATGAGACGGTCATAGATGAAATGTGGCTCATCGAATGCAAGAAGAATAGGTCTCTTTGGCCTATTCTTGACTTTCCCGTAGTGAATACATAAATGATTTTTAAGGAGTTGCAAAGCCGTTCACCTGTCTACCAGTGGTATTATTTTTAAAACGTCTGCACACGGACTTAGTGGTGGAGAGACTAAACACATATACTTCAAGCCTTGTTGAGACAAGATAGTTTAAAAATGAAGCTACGGATCTTCCACTACTGCTCTGAAGTTTCTTTCATTTCGATAGCTATACTCTCCAGCCGTATCTGTCTGTGGAGGGTAGAATGTCTTCTAACTATAAACAAATTGTAGTTTTCTTCGCAAATAAAAGTGGAAGAATAACCAGTGATCCCGCATTCAACTGTCACGTCTTCGGCATTATCCAGTTCTCTTAGGAGTCGAGCAACTGAACACCAATAATATCAGCCTGGACCACAAATCTCAATTATTCTCGAGGTTCATATCTACGAAGGTCATGAAATAGGCAACATATGAATCACTGCGCTAGTGTTCATCAAAGAGTAGCTTGGTTAGTAGCACTACCTTCCGTGTTATCTAAGAAGGTTATGTTCTGAAAGTTAGCAATTTAGGCGGGGAATGATGCTCCACTTCATTAGTTACCAAAGTTGGTATTCAATAAAGAGCTGAACTTTCGCCGTTTCTTTTTCTGCTATTTTCACACTTCTTACCAAATTCCTTGAAAGCCAATTTTATTGAGACTGCCACTCACCTGACGGCCTCAGTGACCGCTTTTTCATTAGAATGCTCTCAGAGAAAAGGTTTCCTATCTAACGTAAAATATTGCGCAGGGGGACAGAAGAAATTCGCCAGTTCAACTGAATCTCACCTATTTCGTTTCCGATGGTTAATCTGTTTATGTTTGCTGACTGGATCAGGCTGTGAACAAATGGGTTCTCAAGAAACAATAGCGTAGCTGTCGCATCGTCGCGTGACTGTGTATCTGTATTCTCTCTTCGTACCGTCATTAATAAATGCATCCCTGAACTGCCGTAAGCGGCGTTAAGGACAGTTCGGCCACCAGGTAAAAAGGGTAGAGCTAAAGAGTCTGCAGGTGGTGTGATCAAAGTTCTGGTCTAGCAATATGAGTGACCACACAATAATGATGAAAGTTATTTGCAATCGAAGCTAACCAGAAATGAGTTCGAATTCGTTCAAGCAGCATAAATAACTGGTTTCTTCGAATTGCCTAGTCCTACATGATTTATACTGATTCATCTCCCTCTTGTTCTAAATCACCAAAAAATGCTCACCATGCTTCCAAATCTTCAGCAGCGAAAACCCTGCTTTCAATTCCTGAAAGTAATCTCAATCCGTCTGTACGAAGGCTTATAAACTGACAGTAACAAAGCCTACTTGCTGGAACACAGCAATAACAACATAACACAAAGTAAATTGGGCAAGTTTCGGCTTACTTTCTTATTATTAGTATTTTTGATATTTAAAATTTTTATATTGCTGCTGTTATTATCACAAAAATCGTGGCACACTGGGCCTTATTAATATATGTGTAAGACTTGGGCACTGTGACACTATGCAATTCCACATTAATTTATTCATTAGGTATAAACTATAGTGAAATAGTATTATTTACTGGATGATATTTCGAATAAAATTTATTGTTCATATTCATATCAATTATAATCACACGACTTGGAAACTTCGGTTTTATAGCTTTCCTTGTTTTCTCGTATTATTCGTATGGGTAGTAAAATTTTCCGCCTGTCCTAGTGGACAGGTAATGAATCAATCCTACTACACGTGTGTGCCGTTGATTAGATAAACAAAGCTTCCGTTATCAATCTCTTCCTCCACCCAGTTACATTAGACTTTAAAACTGTTATCTTGTCCCATCCTAGGATGAAGGCACATTGATCCTATTTTAAGCGGAATTTCATCACTTTGTCATTGCTCAACACGAGCCAGTTTTCCAAATCATAGTTGATTTTCGCACATTTATGTGGCGTGTTGCAGAATTCTAAGATGGAAAGCTGTGTTGCATTCATGTAACCATGATTGATTGGAGCTTTGATCCAACACCAACAAATTATATCATACCAAAATGTATATTATTGACTCTTCGCCAAGATGCATTCTACTCGCTCTATGCTACTTATTATTTGGGATGCTTTGTTCCTAGCAAGCCTTCATCATAGCTAACGACGTCTGTCCCTATTGGTAAAATCTGTATTTACTTGAATTTAAGGCGCCTGCTGTAATGTCATTAAGTATTTCACTAACTATGTTACCGATAAAACACCTACATAGTAGCAAGCTTATTTTTCTTAATGGTTGGGATTGGTTGTGGGTGTATCAGATATCTTGTACTGTTACTAGAATATCACTAGCCAAAATGTTCTTAACTACCTTTGAATCCACTCAGGCATGCGAAAGTCAGCTTGATGCGTCTACTTCAACCAACAAACGTCCCACCGCTTTACATCATCATTGATATTATCATGCTGAAACAATTGTTGATTATGACTGCTTTTCTCAGAACAGCCAAAGACACATGCCTATGGTATTTTTGACAGCATCATCACCACTCCTGATTAATTAATGCAGTAAACTTTGTTAACCAGTCCAGCAACTCCATGTTTGCACCAAAACGTTTTATTACACTATATTCTCAGTTTAACTGCAGTATAATGACTTAATCTGTCAGCCACATGAGTCTTCAAACTGGCAGACAATGGAATTTTCCGCCTACTCCAACGCTGAAGACCATATCAAAAGTGGATCAAAGACATGAGTTGGTAGTTATCCCCCTCCTGGCTTCAACTCATGACCTGGCAACTGATCCACAGAAGCTGCAACTTACAAAAACCACAGCAGTTCCCACAGATTATCTTACAGTGCTGTGTTCTCCTTTGAAGTCAACACAACCAGTCTGTCAACTAGGAGGAACCAAATTATCGAATAAATGCCTTTTGCAGACCTTGGTATCGCATTTCATTTCTTATTCAATAACACACTCACATGGCTGATTCAGAAGTTTACCAAAAACGTTTATTATCATGTAACTACCACTGTGTTCGGCCGTACACATGTAACTCGCCTTACATCTAGCCAAAATAACTAATACCAATGGCTTATGTTGTTCTTAATCTATTACCACTCAGTCCCCAGCGTCACTAAATCGTCAAATTATACTAGTTTACCATGTGATATAACAGTACAATGAGTTTGGAGTTCATCTCTCGTGGTTACACCCATGGTCCTTTTATCAAACGACTAATGGTTTTATGTAGCAGTACCTACATCAAATGCTAGGAATTGCTTTGTCCTTTTGAATATTAGTTGGGAATTAAGTTTCTGGTGAAACACCGATGTTCGCGCACTGTCCAAATGGTAGCATTTCAGTTGATTTTTATGCCCATTTAATCACCTTTAAATTTCAAGGACTTCTTTCAAATGTAATAGCTACGAAGTTATACGAGCCTATCTACTCACTAAGTCCATTAGACTTTGAGCTAACTGGCAATTTTGTCATAATATCAGTACTGCCACCAATCTACTAAGACTGAAATCTTTCTATGAAACTGAACCAAACTGAACCCCTTCAAGTCTTAGACTGCTAACTTTGTTACACATATGAGCAAGATTTTTAAAGGGCCGCCTTAGTCCGGTTACTCTTGTAATTTTTCCCATGCTGTTGTTCAAAATAGATCGAGTGTTGCTACTAATAATGTGAATTCCCTTTATCCGTTCATGATGGTCGTCAGTTAGACAAAATATGCCAGCAGTGAGCATATTTACAGTTGTTCAATTGCACAAGATACATGTAGGACAGTATGGTGGAGTAATATAGATAGAGTCACCTAATATTGATAGAAGCAGTGTTCATGGTAAAATTCTAAGCACCATCATTGTTTAAATTTGGCCAAAATGTCCTTTAAAAGTGGCAGATATGGCAAGTTATCAGTAAATTGGTAAAATTGTCCTGTAAAATGTTAGCTAGTTTACCGATAACAATGTCTGCAGCAATACCAATGGCAAAGCGATCACCACAGTAGTCAGTACTCGGTTAAACGTGTGAAGACGTATTCTTACATCAACAGCAAACAGCGACATGTGATTTTCAGTTCATACGCTATTAGCAACCAGAATAATGGTGAACTACTTCATAAAGAATGACAAGTGAAGCATGCAGTGATCGAAAATCACCATCATCATTCTAGTCATGAGATTTTAAATGCAACCGTCAGTATATTCTTGT